TTATCCAACTCAGGAGGTACTTCAATGCCCTGAGGAGTTGTGGGATTTCAGAAAGCAGCAGCCCAAACCCCCAATATATGGCACCTTGGGCCAGTTTATTGGATGACTTTCTAAGAAGGTCCTGTCCAACAAAGCAGCCCTGTACTGGAGAAAGCAGAATAAGCTTGTCCAGAACTTGCACCACCCAATGGACTCCTACCTACTGCATAAACATCATTTGCAAGGCTTAGTGCAAAGGACCTGCACATGCTCAGAAACTAGCTGGATGCAATGATACAAGAGGGCCTGTCAGCAGGACCTCACCGGGACTCTTCCCTTTTAACTGAAGTAACAAGTGCCTGCCCCAGGCTTGTGTAGGAAACAATCAGCTGGATTCACAAAGGGAGGTAAAGCACTCTGCTACCCACAGCTGGGAGCGAGGTGCAGCCCAGCATGTACAAGGAGAGTTTGAGGTCTGAGAATGGGAGTTGGAACAGCCAACATGCCAAATGGGGAACCCTCCCAGCCAGCCAACGGAAACAGTGCTGCCCCTCTTGAGGATCTAAACATAAGAGATGGTCAAGCTTCTCCATGAATCTAGCTCCTGACCAGACAATATTGTTGGGTCAGTATTATCCACATAATACTGATGGTGACATGGGAGCTAAGGCCTCAGATATAGTCAGTGCTGGGGCAAGGAGCAGATGGTAGGATTTCCCAGTTCACTGTTTTGTTCTGACACTAGTGCAGGAAGGTTAAATAGGCTTAAGCTTAAAGTTGAAACTTTAAAAATGCCACAGGCAGCATTCAGACGGTCCTGGTGAGGAATATAGTATATTACCCATGAGCAGACAGAGATAGTTAGGTATGCATCTCTTGCTTAATCTATAAGGTCAGAACCAGAAGCGGTATGTGCACCTGGGAGCAGTGCTGCACCCTGCTATCCAGTTCTGCCCAGCAGCGTGTTAACCTGTGCAAGTGCCCACCACACACATGCATTGCTTCCAGCTGCAAAGCTAGCATACATAGTATTAGCTCAGGTAGCTCAGCAGCACTGCCTCCCACAGTCGAGGCACACCCTGGGAAATGCATGTTGCTCTCCACACCCAGTGATTTTTCAGGTGGTTTTAGCCTTGGTAAAAGATGGAGGATTGGTTGTCTTAGCTCTTTGTTATCTACCATGGGGAAAGAGTGGCTATGCAGGTTTCACAGTTACCGATTCAGCTCTGGAAAACCTACCCTTGGCTGAGAGAACGTCAGTTTACTTTCAGGTTGTCTACATTCACCCAGGCTGGTAGGCCTTCCAGAGTGCTTCAGTTTCTCTCCAGCCTTGCTTAGTTTGTGTGGCTGTTTCATCTGCTTCTTTTGCCATGTTCCTGCTAACTCTCATGGCTCAGTAAGACTATTCAGGTTTCAGTACCACTACATCCATGCCCACCACTCTGAGCTTTCTCACCAGGGGAAGGCAAGGTGAATTAGCAAAGGGACTAACCACAATAGACAGACAGATAGAAAAATATATCTACCCTGCCTTCTTCACACTAACAAAGCTAGCTGTGTGTCTCACAATTAAGACAGACAAGCTTAAGCCTTGCAGGAAAAACCACCCAGCAACATGAAATAAGTCAGATCTAGCCTGGACAGACTTCTTTTGTCTTGCTGTGTCTGTGGGCTCTGGTGCAATGTGCAGCGTCCACACTGGCTCCAGGTGCTTCCAGACCTGCTGTATTGCCACCATTCCCAGGGCCTCTGGCCTTCATGTACTGGAACTTGATTGACAGCATCAGTAACTCAGCAAAAGGCAAAGGTGACAAGTAGTTGCAAAGTTACTGTCAAGGAACAACCTGAAGTGCTATAACAAAATACTAACTATCCATTAGCTAGCAGGGTTACGATGCTTACCAGTGACCACACGTACGCAGTGATTATAATCATATGTGTCTGATCAGAACATTTATAATCGAGTGAGCAAGGGAGATTCTAGCCATTTCATGCAGATCAGCTCACCCTAGAAAAGAATCCATCTCTCCTGCCTCTTCTCAACCACCCCCTGCCCTGGCTACATCTCTCGTTACATCTATGGCGGAGCTGGCTACCCTGGACTGCTGCAGGTCTGTGGGTAACCAGTTTGGTGCGTACAGATAGATTCTGGGATCCATAGCCAATGTCTACAACTACAACGCATGCCCATAAGTCCCGCCAACCTTAGGGCAGGGGACAGCAGGGCTGCTAAGTGCTTACATCCACAACACACGTGGCAAGAGTAGAGTAGCAGCCTGCAAACTGACATGTTATTTTGTGGGTTAATGACTTGTAACATAGCTTGAAATTGCCTGCGGTAATCGTCTCCTGTGCTTGAGGGGTGCCGGGACTGCTAATGTGCACAGGGCACCTTGATTCTGAACTCGCGGGCCGTGGGGGGTGGAGTGCTGCTTTTGCCTGCTGAATTTTGTAGCCATTAAACATGACTGTGCTTGTTAATTGGGGGGTCAAGGGCTGTGCCATTCCGGATGATTTGTGCTGCACTGGCAGGGCTACGGTCTCCCCTCTCGTTACTACTGGCCAGGCAGCAGCAGGAGGCTGAACAAAGAACGGCATTAAACTCTTGAATGAACAATGGAGAACTTAACAAGCATGCAAGTCAGACCTGTCAGGTGCCAGCAATAAATAAATATAGAACAATGTGCACACCACCCAGTGTGCCATGTACACTGTCATGCACTCTACAGGGCAGCTGAAAGGCAACAGGAGCATGCAGCAGGCAGCTGCCTGTATTCTGCCTTGTCCTCTTTTCTCCTCCCACCATGTGCTCCCAGGGTGAGGTGTGCTACAGGTGTGCAGAGAGAGGGAACTACATGGCCTGTTGTTCCCTTCACAGTTCCCATCCCAGAGGACAGTGGCCCATCCAGCTCCCATGCTTCTGGTAGCACACAGGACACACTGGAGAAGCAGCAACTTGCTATGCAAGGCCCTGCTGCCTCACTACAAATGCAGAGACTTGCTGTAAAATGGAGAGAGTATGCCGTACATACAACGTTGTGCACAGGGACCTCCCCTGCACCAGCACCAGAGCTGCCCTTGCCTCACTATCTGCCAATGCCTGCATCAATGTGTCATTCACCAGCAGTTTGGTTGTGAAAGTTTGTCTGTCTATGAAAGAGAAGCAGAAACATCCAGAGAAACTGAGACAAGATCCAGAAGCAGGAGAGCCAAGAATAGGATGGGAATAGGTCTCAGCATTGTTGGGCTATCTGCTGACTGGGAAGGGGCTTGGAACCAAGAGCCAGGCCCTGTCTCAAGTTGCTCCTTTTCTGCTATGCTCCACTGACAAAACCGTGAGTGCTCTTTGTTAATAAATAGGATTAGGTCCAGGAAACACCTATGTCCCCCATCAGTTTTTCACCTAATGGAATAACCTGCAAGACCCCGTACTCATTGCCCACCTGAGCCATCCCTCCTCATTCCAGATGAGGGCAGCACAGATATCACATGCACACACATCAGTCCCTCAGGAAAATTACTACTCCTTAACACAAGGGAAAAAAGTCAGTCCTACACCTTTACTCTGCTCTCAGCTGAGATAATTAAAGTGAGTTCAACCCAATCACTCTTCTCTGTGCCAAAGCACCGCTGTCTTACCAACCTGAGTGATCTCTAGTACCAAAAGCACCTCTGTTCTCCCCATCTGATCATCATTCTCTTCACCAAAGCACTGCAACCAGAGGGGGAGGTATATGACTTAAATGAGTGCCCCTGGAAGCTGGCAGTCTAAGACCAAGTCTCACGTGTCATTAAGCTGCTGCACATGGACTGGGTTCTGCAGTTGGGACTCAAAAATCAGACATTCCAGCAGCACACGTACAGGGATACGTCTGTGATCCTCTGGTCACACCATGAAGGTAACAAGTACTTCTACCCTTCCCAGCACCACACAAAAAATGGCTTCTTGGTCTCTCTCATTTCTCCGTCACTGAACATTTTTGGAGGATTAGTACCAGCCTCACAGCACTTAGAAACCCTTCTCATGGACCAGGACTCCAAGGTGCTTAAGGTTGAAGCAGCACAGGGGAAAAAAGGGACCCTGCCCAGACAGCTTCCAATTTAAATGCAAAAGAAGAGGAACCAGATGGGGCACAAGCATGAGAGCAGAAGGAACAATGAGATAATGCTGGTCAGCATGATGGGCAGAAGGCTGGTATCTCGGCCTGCTGCTGTGCTGCAGGCGCATTGCTGGTCTGTCACTTTGAGTGAGGATCAGGGACTAACCAGAGGACTTTGCTAAAATCTCAAGTTACCATAATATGCATGTGTGAGTGCGTGTGCAGGTCTATTGTTATCTTCTCATGGCTGGACCTTAGCCAACATGCAAAATGGCTGGCATCTCCAGGTCCTGGCTCCCAGGAGTGGAGAGATCCAATGAATATGTGCCTGCTGCCTATAACTTGTGGGTTCATCACACCCTCTCCTCCTTTTAAGATGCAGCACACACAGAGCCAGCAGGGCCCCTGTTATAAATACCATGTCCTATTTCAGTTCATCCTCAATCCCTTCATCTGCCATCTGCAACACATGCAACCTTTACCTTCAACTCCTGCTCTTAAGGAAGAAGGAACTCAGAGCAAAAGCATCTCCAGTGGAAACTCCTCTGTCGAGACACTCCTGATGCAACAGCACCATGTCATCCAAGCACACTGGCCTTCCTATCAACGTAACAATCTTAATGATGTTTTCAGTTTTCTAGTTCTTTTCCTATGGATTCATGCTTAAAGCCCTCACTAAAAACTGCCCAGAATGAAGGTAGTAACACAACAGCTACACGCTCAAATTTTCTGCAGTCGTATTACCAGTGAAGATCCTACCTCATGGATCCAGCAGGCAGGCTTCATGTTTCCTCCCTCCCTGGTGCTGTGTGAGGCGCTGGCTTCAACCAGGACAGACAGATGGATTTTCCCAGGCCTAGACATAATATGGAATGCAGAACAAAGGGAAACCACATGCACCTGAGTGAAACCACACTTCTGAACTGGCTCTGGTATGGAGCACCCTCCTCCAAACACATTGGGGAACAAAGTCACTCATGTCCCTGCCATATTTCTGACTTGCTGGACTGTGGTGAACACGTTAGTCAGTAAAATTAAACCCGAATGCCCCACGGAGCTGAACATGCCCTGGCACATGAAGCAGCTGAACAGGAAAGTCTCTTGCTCTGCTGTTTCCTTCCTCCCCCACTCCCAGCAGCACTGGCATCCATCATTCCCCTCGGTCCCTGCCCAACAGCACCCCTGTGGCTCCACACAGCTTTTCCTATAGCAGATAGCCCCAACTATCCCAGTTCTGCTGTGCCTGTACCATAGGCAAGTCTGGGTTGCAGCAGAAGCCTTTCCTATTCTGATATCTGTACCACACTTAGTGCTACGTGACCTGGGCACCTTCTGAACATCCTCCTGCATGTATTCACGTTCTCTGCCTTCACCTTGTATTAACACACCTCAGGCATTTCACTTTGGATAAACGTTATCTGACAGGGGCTGCTTCCTCAGACTTGAATGCTGTCTTTGAGATCTCCTGGGGGGGAAAATGATTTATTTCAGAAAGTCAGAAGACTGGGGATTAATTATTGGGACAAAATTGGTTCACATATCCCAGGAATTAACCACAATATTCCAACCCAGAGAGAAATGAGTTCTCTTTTATTAGTTCAGCCAGGGCTGTTCTGTTGCTTTTACAATACAACACCAGGGGGGAAGTGAACACAGATCCTTTGCAACACCACCACCAATGCTGATCACCCAGGTACAGAGCACAGATCAGAAAAAGAAAAGATCGGCAAAAAAGCTCCACAACCTCAGAAAGTCCCAACCACACAGGTGCCCTAATAAGAGATATCACCCACAAGAATTTCTTGCCTGCCACAAAACTTGCCTCAAATCCAGTTTGTCTCTCCTTTGGCATTAAGGTAACAGAGGCTAGTAGATGCTCACTGTGAGTGACATTTGCTCGTGCCTCCCAGTCTCTAGGAATACAGCTCCTGCCCGCAGTTCTGTTGCTGTTTAATGGTGGCCTTGTTGGGATCCTACTTTGCCATCTGGTCCTGCTCCTTTGGAGTTCTGTCCACCCTAATCTGCACTTTTTCGGAGTTCTGTCCCACCCAAAGCAAAGACTGTCAGAAGAACAAGGGCCTGTGTTACTCCATAGGGCTGGGCTGTCCAGGGAACTGCAGTCACTGGTCTGGACTGGGTCATGTGGAAAGTGAACAGTGGGGAAGGAGGTCAGCAATGGGCATAGGGCCTGCCACTCTGCTTTGTCCCAGGGTCCTTTGCCACCCCCTCCACATGCATGTACACATGCACCACTCACTCACCCTCCCACTCAGTCCTGTTGCAGAGCTGCGCATTCTGTGGCTCTCAGCTGGCCAGAGCTGTGGGCTACTTTTCTGTCCTCAGCTCCTGTTTCTGCCTGGTAGGGGGATGCTGAGAAAGCAAGAGGTCCAGTGCCATGTCCTTCTGCTCCTCCTCTGATGCCAGCAGTCGATAGCCCAGCAGCTCCATGGCATCCTTGCACACCTGTTGCAGCTTTTGTATTTTGTGGAAGGGCAGGGACTTCCTCCAGGCCTGAGAGACACTCATTGCATTTCTGGAGCTGATGTCAAAGGCCTCTGCCCCCAGTCCTTTCCCATGGGTGATGTTGTACACCCACCTCTGCAGTTTCGGCAGGAAGCCGAGTTCTGCAAATTTGTAGAGCTCCGCAGTCTTTTCCAGGGGATCTTTAACAATATCTTCATAGCGCACCAGCGTATAGCGGCCCTTGAGAGAGCTGGGGAGAGCCTGGCTGCCTTCTGTATAAATCTGGATGTGGCTTTTGCAGATTTCCTGCATCACGTTATAAGGGCCCATTTCTCCCTGGTTGTTCTTGGGCCCCACCACAATGTCACTGTCAAGTACCAGCTCAGGCGCAGCCTTCTCACGGGATAGAAATACAGCCCGAGGGTCACGGACCAGGTGGATGATTCTGAAGTTCAGCGAGGGGTCACTGAGAAGCGGATAGAGAACCTTCAGGTCAAAGAACCGGACCTCCTTGAGGACAACATGGCTATAAAGCCTGCAAGCCTGCTCCACCGTGCTGAATGGGTATTTGCTACAGACAGTCTTGCAGTGAGACTTGGTAATTATGTCACCGTGCTGGAAGGCATCACATGCAGGTGGGGAGCACAGGGCCCGGCTAGTCTCCCACTGAAACAAATCAGACTTTTTCCTCCCCCTAGACATGTATGCATCAAACACAGACATGTCACACTGGAAAACAGACCTGACTAGGTCACGCACTGCCATGTGTAAGCTGTGGGCAGTATTCTGATGCATCGCAGTCCACACGTGCCAGGCAGGCTCCATCAGATAGAAGACATTAGGATGCTGGCTGAAGAGCTGGCCAGTGAAGGAAGACCCCGATCGCCAGGAGGAGAGGATCAGGACGTGCACCCGGGACTGCTTCTCTTGCTGCAGGGAACTGCTTCTTTGAGGCACAAGGAAGAAGAAGTGGACAAGAGCCACAGTTTGAACTGCCACAATCACCCCGACCACCACCTTGCTAAATGTCAGCATGGTGACTGGGAGCCTAAGGAGACAGAGAGAGAGAGAGAGAATTCATCCTCAGTATTTGGTCAGCAAATACACAGAGAACTCATGAATCCGGAGCAGCGCAGCCTGGAGACAGAAAACGGCAACACTTATGCTCTGGGTACACAGAAGTCTGTGGGGCCATCAGTGACTTTTGGATGGCAAATTCAAATTGATGAACACAGATAAAAGGATATACGGTAGAAACCTCCGTAATGATGCAGAAATAGTTTATTAGCCATTACAACGTATCTGCAACTTTACTGCATTTTATGAGATAGCCAGAACTATTTTTATGCCCAGGCAGCTTGGAGAATATAACATGCATTATTTCTAAGAGCCAATGCAAGTTAGAAGGCCAATCAATTTCAACCCAATTAATTTACTGATGACTATAAAAGTCAAAAAATCAATCCACAATAAAGTATGTTACTAGTCCTTGGTCACTCGTGACACTGCAACAATACAAAGGAACAAGTTCATTGCAGGACTTCACACAATCCTGACACTAATTTGCAACATCTATTTCTAGAGTGTTAGTAACTTCTTGTGCGCTTACCCCAAAAGCAGCAAAAAGACCACAATAGCTCACACACAAACCATCCAGGCCTGAGAAAACAAAGGAAATACATCCTAAGCTATTTTTAAACATAGCTGACAGGGTCAGTTATATAGGGTTTAGCTAGAACTTCAATGTAAGTGGCTGGGCTGGTTTAGTCAGGGATGCTTCTGCCTTGAGCAGGGGGCTGGATTAGATGATCTTATGAGGTCTGTTCCAGCCCCACTTTCCTCTGAGTCTATGATCCTATAAGTGACCATGCATCACAGGAGCTCGGTACACAACCTAGGATAAGGCTTGTGTACTAAAATGCTACATGAGAGGAATGCTAAACCTCGCATCAAAGATGGGAACACCCTGAGCCAAGGACCACTTCTTCTGAGTCTCAGACTGCTACTAGAAATGTTCTCTCAGAAAACAAGAAAACAGTTTGATACATACCTGATTGCTAGGAAATGATCATAAATATTATTACTAAGTTGCTCTTTATGTTTTGTAAAAAAATCCTAACCTTGAAAGAATGTGAGGAAGTTCTTTTTAGGGGCAAAAAAGGAATATCAGGATGTGTTACCAGAACCACAAGCGGTTACTCATCTTTCAAGTGAACTTTCTTCTACTCTCCTGTACAGTAAGAACCTCAAGCTTACGCTTACTCAGAAAGTTCTAAATATTGTCTTATTGAAAGCATTTTCTTCTATAGGCATTCTAGGACTTTCAACCTTTAAGAAAAAACTCTGATGACAACAAAACATTCTACAGAAGATGCTCGTTGTTTCTATCTACTTTATTCTTCCTTTCAATGGCACACAACTTGGTTACTCCTTAAATGTTTCAGGTGACAAGCCTCTGTTGAGATTTATCATTGCAAATGTTTTGCAACTTTTTACAACACTTTATATAAGTTCCTGATACCATTGTTATGTGAATAGTAAGAGGATGCATGTACAATACAGCAAAAGGTCAAGAAAGCACAGGATGTTTATATTCACTGGGGAAAGAATGAGTTACCTGGCAATGCTTAAGCAGTTTCCTCTCCAACAGCTGTTAAGGAAAAAAGGACAATTACTTCCTTAAATACTTAATACTTAAGTTGCAAGACTCTTTGGGAATGACCGTAGTTACACTTTAAAAGACTGCCTTGAGAGCTGGAACACTTATGGAGAGAAAAAAACAATAGGGTTGAAGTGATGTTCTGGCTATGATGCAACTTGAAGGAAGTACAGTTTGCACCCAAAACCTTGTCTAATTCCCCCCACCACCACCACAAACTACACAGCTGGTCCAGCTAGAGAGATCACCAGATAAAAAATAAGAATTTTAATTCCAGCTAAACAAGGATAAACTTAACAGAAGCATTCTGAAAAATGAGGTAAATAAATGAAAATTTATACATTTTGGGTAGCAAAAATTTGGAACGGGCTCCCAAGGGAGGTGGTGCTCTCGCCTACCTTGGGGGTCTTTAAGAGAAGGCTGGAGCAGCATCTGGCTCGAGTCATCTGACCCTGGCGCTCTTTCCTGCCCAGGCGGGGGGTCAGACTCAATGATATGTTGAGATCCCATCCAACCCCAGTATCTGAATCTGTGAAAAAGTTACTGCGCCTGAAGGTGAATGCACTGCATTGAAAGTTCTTCTAAATCTATCCCAGCCATGCAGGTGGTCCAAAAAAACATGTCACCCACAAAATCCTCGCCTAAAATGCTAAAGATATCCTGGGAATTTTCTGCTATAACTGAGGGAATTAGACATCTGCTCCATATCCATTAAACAAACTAGGCACGTGCATTAGGCATTAGCCCTCTCCCATTCCTTAAGTGACTGTTTTCATTTTCACACGGAGTTCACAGAATCACAGGATCACTGAGTCGGGAGGGACCTAGACAGATCATCGAGTCCGACCCCCTGCCATGGGCAGGAAGGAGCACTGGGGGTGGCAGGGGTCGTAAGACCCCAGCCAGGTGCCTGTCCAGTCTCCTCTTGAAGATCACCAGGGAAGGTGAGAGCACCACCTCTCTGGGAAGCCTATTCCAGGCTCTGGCCACCCTTACCATGAAGTAAATCTTCCTCAACCTCTCCTCCCTCAGCTTGTGGCCATTGTTCCTGGTGACTCCAAGGGTTAACGCAAGCCATGGTTTTGTGCTCAAACCCCGGCCTGTGGGCCTGATCCAGCCCCTGGCACCAGGTGATCCAACCTATGGGCTCTCCACAGGTCCTAGCATTTGTGGGGAGCAGTGCGGTAGTGTCGCTGCTGCCAAATGTCTGGACGTGCGGAAAGCCCCAAGGGCCGCAGCGTGCTAGACAGCGTGCAGCGCGGTGCAGAGGACCTCGTCCCGGGGGCGAGGAGCAGTGCGGGGCCTGATTCTGACCCACGGGGGTGGCAGGTGGAGCCCACACTGCTCGTCTGACCCACAGCGCCAAAAGACGGAGCACTCTTTAACTGAGGCCATACCTGATTCTTGGCCAGACACGGACACGCTGGGCCTGAACGATCCTCTCGGCCTCTCACAGCTGTATGGTTGGTCCAACAGAAGACATCCCAAACACCTTTGCTTCAACAGACTAAAAACGCATGAGGCAAATGTGTGACAAAGACCGTGCGTGACAGCAAGGAGCCCGAGAACACAGCAAGAGGGGACAGTGGGGGGTGGCAGCCATCTTGGGTAAGGGCAGCCCTACCCTCCTGCACACAGGGGTGCTCGTCGGCTTCAGCCCAGGGCGGTGCTGGGGCGCGGTGGCCATCTTGAACGAGGGAACTGCCAGCCCTGCGCCAGGGGCGTGAGGGGAGGACGCCCGTGTCCCGCCAGCCATGGTGGAGCCGCGGCAGGTGCCACTGACTTGGCCCAGAGAACCAGGGGTTTCCTTCAGGCCTGAGGGCAGAACAGCTGCAGCACAGCTGGTGCCACGGCTCCTGTCCAGGGACCTAACCGTATCCCCACTAACACAGGGACCTGACATTGTCCAGGCAACGTCCCCCATTTTACAGGTGCAGACACTGAGGCAAGGCCGGTGAAGTGGCTTCCTCAGCCCCTCGTGTGCTGGTTTTGCACCGTGGCCACCTGAACCCCCATCCGAAGCTCGAGCCTCAGGGACCCACTTATCATACAAGCTTCATAGGCACAGACGGAAAGCCACCAGATTCCCCAGTTTTCAAGAGACTGCCCTGGAAATTTGGAAATGTAAGAGGTCTCGGCAGTTCCCTCAGTCCTACCCTGCAAATTTGCCCTGGCCAGACAGCATCTGCAGCACCAGCAGACACCAGCCGCCCCACAAGCCGTGCCCAGATTGCACCATCTGTCCGGGAGATGCAGGGAGGTCCCGGCCTCCCACAGGTGGTTTCTGAAGGAGTCACTGTGCCCCAGGGCTGCCAGCAGGAACTGCAGCTGAGCAGCACAAAATCCCCTCTGGGCACTGCCTGCCAGGTCCATGACAGACGGTAGAAGAAATGCCGTAGGTTGCACAACACCTTCCCGGCTCGGAGGAACAGCAGTTCAGGAGCAGGTCACTTCTGCATGGGCCTGCTTGACGGTCTTGCCCCTTCTCCCAGCCCTTCCTTGCTTCCTCAGGGACAGGCCCTAGTAAACTGGCCCCTTGCCCAGGTGGCCATTGCCTCACTTGTGGTTCCCCTCCCCAGCTTGATCTGGGAAAGAGCTCCTGCTCCCCTGAAATGGTTCAGGCACAGGCTGACCCAGCTGCTGCAGGGCCTTCTCAGCCAAACACAGTGCAGGCCGGTCCCTCCTTGGGCTGGGCCTGTGTAAAGAGCTGGCACAGACGCCCTGTGCTGAGCCTCAGCTCCCAGCTCCTGGCAGGCAGCACCACCACAGGAAGGGCCACTACCAAGCTCAACCCACTGACGCCTCCAGATGCAAGAGCCATGAGAGGTCTGTGACCCGTGCAGACATTCTCACTGCATCTCAGCACGCCGAGATGAGAGGGAGCTTGCACGAGGGAAAGCCAAAACACAAATGCCTCCCAGAGTACTCAGTGTTTCCCAAGAGAAAACTGCCTCCCGGGATGCCAACCTATGTGTCTCAGAGGCAACAGTCTCCAAGCAGGCATGTCACAGATACAAAACCTCTGCGATCAAACTAAGTCCCATGGGAAGGAGCGCGATGCTGAATCTATAAGCCAAGGCAATAGCAGAGGCCCCAAAAAAGAGAGGATCACGGTCTGTGGGTGCTACCCCAGGAGCTGCCCCAGAGGCATGGGTGCTGACTCTGTGAGGCTGTAGTCAAGGCTGTCCCTGGGTGGGCACTATAGGCATGTTTACGAGTCTCCTTTTCCAGCAATAAAACCAGGTTGGCAAACAAAGACAAACAGGAACAGCAAGAAGTGCAAACTTACAGAGACGTCTAACAAAGGTCTTGAAACAATCCAGCACCCAGGGCATGCTGGATTCTGTGCCAGGCCCAAGCCTGCCTTCCCATCACACGGCTTGGGAGGGCTGACCACAGACTCCCTGCAGCTCCTACCCTTCAAGCTGTTGAACAGCATGGCCTTGTCCTTCTCCAGCGTCTTTCCAGTCCCATCCCATGGGCTAGTGCACAGCCCTTCATTGACCAGGGCAGGGACTGACACACACAACCCCTCCTCCGTCCAGCCCTGCTCATGCTGGGGGCCCTCCCACACTACCCCCTGCGTCCAGGAGCCCCGTGCCTGCTGGTGCCACACTGGGGACTGCACAGGGTCACTGCCACACAGCTGGTGCTTTCCTAGTGAGCTCCCACTTGAGCACAGCCCACAGCCCATTCTGCTCAATTCCTTGGGGACGCTGGAGCTTGCTGACCGATGCCTGCCCCATCCAGCCTTCCAGCCAGGTGGGGCTCTCAGACAGGATCCACCGGTGTGGCATGGGTCTGTGGAACGCACTGCTGCACTTGGACATGCCCTAGGCCCGTAGGGAGAGGGAGCAGGAGCGATCCATCTGATGTTTGTCTCCATCTGAGGTTTAAGCAAAAATAAAAACCAAGACCCTGGGCCTGAAGCTCCAGCTACTACCTCTGCCTCAGCCCATCAGGTCTTGATTCTTGTGCTTCCTTTCTGTTCATACTTTGTGCAGCTATGCACAGCATGGACCTCAGCACGTGGGGATGCACTGAGGGTGCGTCCTTGCCCTCTGAGCTCAGCCTGGAGCACAGCTCCAGCGCAGGAGGTGTTCGGTGCTGCTCCCTCTGCAGAGGCCAAGCTGGCATGGGCTCTGTGGCCAGTGCAGCTGCTGCCAAGAGGACTGCTTGCACTTTCCAAGACAAACTAAATACAAAGCTCTGGCTTGTCAGCTCACCATCAGACTTTGGTTAGCTTTCCCACGCGGCGGGGGGGGAGCACTCTGCTGAGTCCTAGAGGCATTGCTATCATGCCTCCAGTGTGCGGGCACCAGAGGTGACCGCAGCACCTCTGCAGCCCTTCCCTGCCTGGGGAAGCCGGTCACCATCCCACCCACACCGAGGTGCACAGCAGGGCCCAGATTGAATCTCAGCTGCCACGGAGCATAGCTCCTGCACACACAGCTCGGGGACCAAAAGAATGCGGTGGGTAGCTCTTTATCTCGGCAGCACCAGGCACAGCTCATGGCCAGAGGCAGCACTGGCCACCACCCCATCGCTCCCTGCACTGCAGACTCAGTCACTCACAGCCTCATCAGGCCTGGCCCTTGCACTCTGGGCCTCTCCAGCAGCACATGCCTGTTCTCCTACGCTCTTCTCCTGGGGTCACAAACTTCCACCCTGTGGCCCTGGCCCCTCTCCTGAGCTGCCAAGCATTGGGCTTAATGTGTTCACTACCGTGCAAGCTTGTCTGCTTGTCTGGGGCTCACAGCCCCCCACCCTGACTTATTGGCAGCCTTGGCATCCCGTGTGCTGTGGATCCCAAGTGCTGGACCCTTGGCAT